AAAGAGTGAAAAACAACATTTAATCTCATGTGTGACTTCACCTCCCTTCCTGGAACACCTTTTCACAGGCATGTAGGTAGTGGGTGGAAGGGAAGCTTATGTGAGTCCTGTGATGCTGGATCATAAAGCCCTCTATTTACCCAAAAGCAGCTGGGAGGACATGAACAGCCTGACTCATAGGGTCAGGGTTGTACACACCAAGAAACTGTATCCTACTGGGGGTCAGCAAATGTGTGCATGGCAGGTGTCCAGCCTCAGCAAAAGATGCCAGCTTAATCAATAATGAGTAGTTCTTTTGTAACAGGGACCCTTAGCCAAAAGTTCCCAAGTAGATTGGCCAAAGGGGAACAAAACCAACCTGAGGAAACATATCTCCAAGGTAAGTCTTTTAAGGTAGGTCAAGGGCAAGTTGTCAACAGTAGTGGGAGCCCTGAAAATGTGTTTGACACTCAACCTAACATTTTGCAATACATTACTGAAATTCTATCACTGGTTGATAACAAGCTTAATTCTTCCATCAGATCATTTAAAGTCTACTATCAATAAGGCAAGATAATTTACTTCACTCAAGATGATCATCACCTGAGTATTGCTAACTTGCCGTTTGTTATTGTATGGACTTATACAAAACACTTTACAAAAGGCATAGAAAACATAGGGCTAAGTTCAAAGTTTTATTAGGATGGTAAAAATTAGACCACTTTACACTCACCTTGATGCCCCTCCTTCCCCTAGTTTTCTTGAGCTGCAAGAGTGTGTAAGTAGATGTAACCTACATTTCATGGACTCAGAATATGGTCTTATAAAATTAGCCTGTTTAAGTTGCTCCTTTTTCTGGTTCTACAATGTATAACTTATCCTCTTTTAAACTTTGTTATGCAACATTAGAGCAGTTTTAAGTGTATATAAACAGGGCCAGATTAACCTTTTAGTGGGCCCCAGGCAAACAAACTCATGGGCCCTGGGCCAGTTGAGACCCCGCTCCCCACTTTGACTCTGTGCCCTGTGGGGAGTGGGGCTTAGAGCTGCCACTAGGAAGCAGCCACCATGGCAGCAAGGCTGGAAGAGAGGAGGGGAAGGCAAGAGAAGTAGACGGGGCCACTCATACCACCTCCATGGAGGGAAGGACAGGGCCCCCACAGCTCAAGGCCCTAGGCATGTGCCTAGTTTTGCTATACATTAATCCAGTCCTGTATATAAGACTATATAAAATAAGCATATGGGGAAGATCTCATTTACACTTCCTTAAGTTTCTGAATTACACCCACAGCACCAGTGCACAACAGTTTGCAATCTACCAGTAAATAGCAGAAATTACAAAATGAGCAAGGGTGACAAAGAATAGGCAGGGGAGAGGTTGAGAAAAGGCAAGGTCCCTTCAAGGTCTTGACAAAGAATAGGCAGGGGAGAGGTTGAGAAAAGGCAAGGTCCCTTCAAGGTCTATTGTGGTTCAGGTTGGTTTTGCTGTTAGTGTTCGGCTCTAGGCTTGCAGGTTTTTCTTTTTGCCGAAACCACTAAACTATCCATTGGCCTCAGTCAGGCCTTACTCCAGTAGGATGCTGAGCCTTTTGTGAAAGGTAACAAGTGAATTCAACAGCCAGGACAGCAAGTATCTTGAAAGATCTGTACTCAGTTTAAAATATGTGTGTCCTTCTTGATTTTACTGTTAAAAGTAGATATTGGCCTCTTTGCATTTAAGAGTAAGCCCTGCATTGTCACAGATTGTTTCATATGCCATCATCAATATACAGGTGATTTATCTTCTAGTCTTTGGATGCCTGGAAATGAAAAATCCGTTCAAGGATGGCATGTGGGGGAATTGCAGTGGTGCAAGAGTTCCACAAGCTTCAGTAGTTGGCCAGGAGCTGACCAGCACATTACGGTGGTCGACACCTGCTCCATCAGGATACCCAGGAGAGATGCTGGTGCAGGATTCACCAATGGAACTCCCAGGAAATCCCAGTATTAAGCTAAAGCTTCTCTCTTCTGGCAGGGTACACATAGACAAAGGTAAGTTTCCCTTGAGGGCCAGCTGGTCTGGTTTTTGTTAGCAGTCCCTGCATCAGTCAGGAAAAGGAAGTCAACACACAAAGTTAAAGTATGCAGAACTCTGCCTTGCTCCTGAGTTGATGGCTTTGCTCATGGTACAGATCAGACTACAAATTGCAGAGTCAACTCCAGGGACCACACTTTAAGAACCACTGAAAAAGAAGGGCAGTGCATTTCAATGAGTGAAACCTCAGCTAACTCATAATCAATTGTTATTTCAAATCCATGCACATGTGTCTATCTGAGCATTTGTTCATTTATTCTGCAAGCCTTATTCACATGAGCAGACCCACTGAAGCCAATGAAGCCAGTACTTATGATTAAGGACTGCACGGTTAGAATCTGTCCCTCAAACATGCATGTGGGATGCTGCATAATACATTCAAGTATAAACAGGTGAGTACAGCTGAGTACAGCATGATTTTGTATGCCTATAACAAACCTCTATGTTTTCTTAATTACTTAGCTCATAGAACACTTGGATTTGCTGTGTTTAAAGCAGACCACTAGTCCATCTCATTCACTAGCCTGCCTTCATCAGTGACCAAAATGTCAGAAGGCAGACTCTGTATCTGGCCAATTGTACAATGCAGTATATAGTGCTATATTTGCTTCCTAACCTTTCTAAGTGATCTTTATTCACCCTGAAGCATGTGACCATTGGATAAAATTCCTTCCTGCCCCCAAATGTGGTGATCAGTCTGGCAAGACCCTCTAGCTAACCAGGAACCTCCAGCTTTAATTCCCAACAGGGCAAACCCCAGTCAAAATCCCCAGCCCTGGCTGGAGCCAAAGCCCAGTGCCTGTGAGAAGGCTTAAAAAAAAACTCCTGGCACATGTAGCATCCAGGGGGGCAGAGGAGGCAGAATTCCCTCCCCCAGCAATCAGCAGAGCCCAAAAGTGTGGGAAATACCCATAGCAGAACATAGGCATAGCTACATCTAGATCATCCCCAACCAGTGGCTGTCCAACCTCTTCTAACTTGAACACCTCCAGTGATGAAGCAACTTCTTATCTGACATCATACAGCAAGCTAATAAATGTTACTGTGATCATACTATTATTCAACCCTTTATAAGATGGAGCTACACTCCTTGATTCAATAGTCTCAGGCAGCAATGAACACCATCAACTGACTCCATGTTGCATATGGAAATCTTTATTTCTGTTGGCTCTGAAGTTGCTTAAATAGACATGTTGGACCACTGCCTCAGCTGCTGTAAATAGACACAGTTGAAGTTAGTGGAGTCTGCTTACAGTTCAGAATCTAGTCCTTTGAAAAGACATGCAGAATGAGTTCCCAGGATCTTAGTGCAACCTGTTATTCCTTGTGGGGATTTAGGAAGAGAGGTGGATGTGGGAATGGTTTGATAACAGTCTTCAAATATGAAAAGGGCCATTATAAACATGATGGTGATCAATTTTTCTCCCTATCCACAGGGACTAGGAGAAGCTGCATTGAGCTTAAATTGTAGTACAGGAGATTTTGTAACTGTAAGGGTAGGTGAGGACTAGAACAGATTGCCTATAGAGGTTCATACCCATGTAGCTGCATCCAGACTGGTGCTGGGGTTACCTGAATCTGATACAAGGAATTCTGGGCTGCTAGGATATATCTTCAAGGAAAATCCCCAGCAGACCCTTGCCCACCTGCTTGCCTGCTCCAAGCCTGGAAATATGAGAAGTTAATTTTCCATTCTTGAAAGGTTTTAAATGCAGGTTTGCTAAATGTTGGTTGGGATAGCTTTAACTGGGATGATCCTGCTTTGAGCAGGAGATCAGACTAGAGATCCCTTGAGATCCCTCCAGCCTTATTTTTCTACAATCCTTTGTTTGATATCACACAAAGTGTGATACAAAGTGTGGAACAAGTCCACCTGTCATTAATCTATAATAGAGTAACATTTGAGACAGCCTTTCCAAATACACACACACACACACACACACACATGCACACACCTTTGCCCCCATTAGTTCTTTAATACTTTTGTACAAAGAGTTTTAAAATGTTGCAGCATAGCTACAAATTGTATCAACAGCTACTTGTCTGTGTCCTTTCTTTTATGATTTAAAAGCATAAATCTGGTATACTGTAGGTTTTCCTTCCTCCAAATACACTGGATCTGTCTCTAGCTTCACTGAATTAGTTTTACATCAGCATTGCTCCACTATCTTCAATGGAGTCATTGGTGTAATTGGTAACACAAATTTGTATAAATAGATTAAATTTAAATATTTTCTCTCCAAAATGAATGTATCTGCAGTTAAGCTATTAACCTAATAAGGCACTGGGATTTATTTCTAACTAATTAAGTAACAAATAAGTCAAGATACCAGTTAGAACTGCTTTGCTAGGGATTTTGCTTCCAATTGTCCTGACGGGGTCAGATACCAATGTGGGTGTACATGCTGAGCCTGACATTTCCTTTTCTAAGGACATAGGCGATTAATGGGGTATTTCATTAATGCTGCGAATAAGCCTAGTGGTATTGAGTGCCTTGCTTCATCTGTGATGAATAAAAAGTACTGAGAAGAAGCTCAGTGGCTGAAATATTTTGCAAGTGCAGTGAATCTTTTCCTAGAGAGCACTTTTTCTGCTTTTACACACAGTACCTATATCCTCCAGATTCATATACAATATCCAGGGGTGGTGCCAGCCTCTTCCCAATTGGGGGGGCTAAGGTGGGTTGGACAGAAAATTGCGGGGGGCTGTGTTATACATCTTCTGGCCAAACATAGTTACTCATTTTTTTAACTATACCCACTTAAACGCCATGCCTCTGTGGGCTGTGAGTGGGAACAGGGCAGCAGCAGTATGTGAGGGGAAGGAAGAGGGCTTGGACAGAGGTGGCACTGGGAGGGGTGGCTATGTGGGGGCTAAGGAAAATTTTGAGGTAGCTATAGCCCCCTAAACCTCCCCTAATGCCACTCCTGACAATATCCATATAGAACCTATACATAGAGGCTATATGAATATCATCTAATGTAATCATTGAGTGATATATCACACATTACAGAGAATGAACCGCTTGAATACTATGTACCTAGCATCTGAGAGACACATTCAATATTTTGTGTGTTAAAATACAAATGAAATAATAAGATGAAATTTAATGCATGCACCATGGTAGGAATAATATTTAGAGGACAGTCTCAAGCACCAATTCCACTTACCATTCTCTCTGCTTATAAACTTTTGTTTCTCTTACTTAAAAAATATTAGTTGAAGAAAAATACTCTGGGTCAGATATTCTGGCTGTGCCCAAGAGAGATGTCAATGGTTAACCAATAATGTGAAATCAAAACTCATTAACTCATGGGTGGCCAGAAAAAGGACCAGAAAGGAATACTGTGATCACCCAATGTGATTTCCTGCATAACACAGGCCGCACAACTTTATCCAGTTATTTCTGTTCAAATTAATAATAGCTCATTTTTATTTGTTTTGATTTAACCTATAAACATGATTGCAAATCAAAGGGCAGGGGATGGTCACCACCAGCCTCTACTCTGGGGAATATTTGGTGAGAGACAGCTAATAAGCAACTTCCCTCCCACACTGGAGAAAACATGATCCTGGTGAAGAGGCTTCTAATAATCTAATGCTCCATGCGGCCTCACCCTTTCCCTTCATGCTCCATCCATTTGCAGTGCCACTTAGAAAACCCTTGCACTCTTCATATGAAACATCCAAATACAAAAGTATTCATCCGTCACCTTTCTGCTCCTCTACGGTACTTCATTATGTGCATTACCCAAGGACATGTGTCTTTTCCCCCATCATATCCCTGCCATGAGGAACACCTACACCCCTTGCACACTACCATTTATATCAACTAGGCATTCAGGCTTCACGGTGTCAGAACAAGCTTCTTCAGAGCAGTAGCATGACTGAGGGGGCAACTGGGGCAGCAGCCCTGGATGCTGCCTTGAGGGGGAACTATGACCACTGACAGCATAGCAGCCAGCACTGCCCCATGTGATGCTGCTGCCCATGGCATGAAGGTGCCCTGATATGCCTATGCTTCAGGGACCAAACTAATACTGTGGAATGAACTCTCACAGGAGCTAAATACCATCACAAAATTCACCAACTCAAATGTAAGGTGAGTTTCTTAGATCTTGCTTGTTCTAACATAAACATAACATAACCACACAAAACAGGTAAGTTTATATTATATAAAGAGTATATATTATAATGTAATAACTTCAAAAAGAAGGCTCTTGCATGCATTTTTTCACCTGGGGAAAGGATGAGGGAACAAATGTAAAGGTTAGTCACGCTGTTTAATGCAGTACTGGAAGGCACCAAGACTATAATGACAAGAGAAGCATAAGCATGTAAAATAGAATTTCATACCACAATACACAGTCTTTCCAATAGATACACATACTCTCTCCCCACCCCTATTCTGTGAGATAGCCAACCAGCTTATGCTCTCTTCTGCCTGCATGAGATATTCAGCTTTTATTTTTGTTCTCATGTTCCTTGACAGACCTTGCCCCAGTGCCTAGTAAGGCATGGCCTGACCAGGCCCAGACTTCTGCCCCAAACAGTGGTGTGAAAAAGAGCAGAAACAGAAAGCAGACAAGTAACAGAAATATCTTTCCCCTATATGTAACCATACAACAGCCTGTTCACCCAGTGTTGTTTTCATTCATCAGGGAACTTGCTGAGGCTTTTGGGGGATTCATATTCACCACTCCCTAAGAGAAATCAAGGCTTTTCCCAAAAACCCAGTAATGGTGATCATATAGGTGTGTTGCCAAGTAACACCTTTGCTTTCCCTAGGTGGCACCCATATTCACCACTCCCTAAGAGAAATCAAGGCTTTTCCCAAAAACCCAGTAATGGTGATCATATAGGTGTGTTGCCAAGTAACACCTTTGCTTTCCCTAGGTGGCACCCATCTTGAAAGTGGTATCTTGCACTGAGTTTTAAGTTTGTTAGAATAGCTCTT